GCGGACACTACAAACCTTTCTAATGAAAAAGCGCACACTACAAACTTTTGTAGTCTCAAAAAGCGGTCACTACAAACTTTTCTAATGACAAAAAGCAGACACTACAAACTTTGTAGTCAAGATAACCTTTTGACCTTAACTCTAACTTTGTAGTGTAAATCTAAGCTTTTGTAGTCTAAGTCCGACTTTTGTAGTCTTTTATAGTCTATCAGTAAACTTTGTAGTCTGAGTCTGACTTTTTTGTAGTCTATCAGTAAATTTGGTAGTCTTTTGTAGTGTATTAGTAAACTTTGTGGTCTTTTGTAGTCTATCAGCAAACTTTATAGTCTAAGTCTGACTTTTGTAGTCTTTTATAGGGTATCAGTAAACTGTGTAGTCTAAGTCCGACTTTTTTGTAGTCTATCAGTAAATCTATATCTGACTCTTATAGTAGAGCATGCACCTTCCTTTTTTGGTCATTTTTCCCACGATACAATAATTGTAGCCCTTTCTTTTAGCTTTCTGAATATACTGAAATTATGTTATTTGGTTTTGTTTTCATGGAGAAAAACACAAAAAACAAAAAAAAACGCGACACTTTTGACATTCATTTACCTCATATCTCCACAACAGGAGCACTTCAGAACATAATTCAAACAGATTTGGGAAGCTACAGTGCAGGGCTACAACTTTGGTTTTTTGACCCCTTTTGGAGTTTGGTCATGTGACCACTCTCCTGATTACTAAAAATCACCAATAATATTGCCCAAGTAGCTAATGAAAATCGCAATGATGTTGCCCAAGTAGCCAATGAAATTTCCCATGATATTGCCAAAGGAGCTAATGAAAATTGCAATGATATTGCCCAAGTAGCTAATGAAAATTGCAATGATATTGCCCAAGTAGCTAATGAAAATCGCAATGATGTCGCCCAAGTAGCTAATGAAAATCACAATGATATTGCCAAAGGAGCTAATGAAAATTGCAATGATATTGCCCAAGTAGCTAATGAAAATCGCAATGATGTCGCCCAAGTAGCTAATGAAATTGCCAATGATATTGCACAACCAGCTAATGAAATTTCCAATGATACTGGCCACATAATTTATGAAAATCGCAATGATATTGCCAAAGGAGCTAATGAAAATCGCAATGATATTGCCCAAGTAGCTAATGAAAATCACAATGATATTGCCCAAGTAACTAATAAAATTTCCAATGATATTGCCAAAGGAGCTAATGAAAATTGCAATGATATTGCCCAAGTAGCTAATGAAAATCGCAATGATGTCGCCCAAGTAGCTAATGAAATTGCCAATGATATTGCCCAAGTAGCTAATGAAAATCACAATGATATTGCCCAAGTAACTAATAAAATTTCCAATGATAAT